TGACCCAGCACCAGGCCCCGGCCCAGGTCTGGACGCAGCACCAGGCCCCGGCCCAGGCCCTGACTCAGACCCCAGGCTTGAGACCCCAGCCCAGGCCTGGCAGACAGGGCAGCTCTGCTCGCCCTGCGCTGCAGCCTTGCAGGCCTCTGGGGAGGAGCCTGCCAGGTTGGGCTTCATCTTCTACTGAGCCATGTGGACCCAGGATCTGTCCACCTGTGGGAAAAAACAGAAGAACGTATGTTCTAGAGTTGTCTCAACTCATGCGGATTATCAGACCCCTGGGGGCTCAGGAGACCTCCTGGTGGGAATTAGAGACCCTCTGAGTTCCCAAACCTGTCCCTTTCAGAATCTTGAGAACTTCCAAGGTGGCCGCTGCCTTCCTCAGAGTCAGAGACAAAGCGGCCAGGCCTTGGGTTTCACAGCTCAGGAGACCAAGGCCCAAAGTCACGCTGCATGGCTGAGATTTACACCAAGAATTCCTGACTTCTCCACCAGTTCCTTAAAATCCCGGTTCCCATGTAGTACCAGAGGGAGACAGATCAAATCGTGCCAAGGGGAACCCCACCTGACTGGGGGGGTGACTGCTTTCTGACGGGGAAATGGGGAGGGCTTCCTGGAGAAGGAGAGAAGGGAGGAATCCACATGGGATCCAGAGGGCCTTGGAAACTTGCACAAGTGCTGCACCGCCTCTGCCCTGGCAACTGCTGCCTCTGGTTCTCCCAGGTCCCCCCGCAGTGCAGACGGCTGGTACCACAAGGCCTGCCAAGCCCCCTGCGGGCTTCAGGATCAGCTCTGTGGGTCTCGGGGGCCAGCACTGAGGATCTCGTCCTCCTCACTCTAGACTTAAAGTGAGCCAGGCTGTCAGTCCCTGTTACCATCGTCGCACCCCCAGCCTCCCACTTCCTGCTCCACCCGAGGATGAGGCTGGCCCAGAGGCCGGATCACCATTATCATCATTAATGACAGCAGCGACTGTGTACTCTCAGCCTGCCGTGCGCCAGGCCCCGTGGATACAGAGAGAGGTAAACTCTGCCCTGCGTGGCACACAGGGGCTGTAAAAAAGGAACAGGTGCAACTGGGTGACCGAATGACTGAGTAACGAGCCCCACAGGTGTTGCTGGTGGTGGTCACGGGGCAGGGGCCGGGACAGCTATACAGCATCTTCTAGTCTCCTCTGTCACTGCCCTGCTCTCCGAAGTTCTGAGTGAGGGATATAGTCATGCCCCATACAAGCACTGACACTCACGGGTGTGACAGGGAGGGGAGACACCCCAGATGTTAGTCGTCACAGGGGATGGGTCTAATTCCTCCACTGGGAGGGGGGAATACAACCACAGAGTGGAGCCCTCCTCTACCCAGGCCCAGGGGACTCTGTCCTGGGGAAGGGTTTGTGGCCCCAGAACTGTCTTTCTAGCCTCTGGGGCTGCTTCCAGCGACAAAGGCTGGGACCCTGCCTCAGGTCCCATTTGCTGGGTGTGCCCTTGGGCAAGGTCCTTATAACCTCAGTGCACCTCAGTATCCACGTCTGTCAACTGAACCCCCATAACTCTCACAGATGGCAGCGTCCTCACAGACCACTGGCATGCACGCTCCAAGAAGGCTTGGATCACTGTAGTGTGCGTGGCACCCTGGCACAAAGCAGGCCGTCAGTAAACAGCCGCTGAGTGAATGAAGCCACTCAGGACTGTTCTGCAGCAGGGAGCCTAGGGCCAAGCACCCGGCTGACCCCCCCGGCACTGCCACATTTAATCCTCCTGGCGGTCCTGTGCAGCGGGGGCTACTGTTCCCATCATCCGGGGAGGGAAACTGAGGCTCAGAGAACATTTGCGAACTCTGATGGCGTCTCAGTGAATGGCTGGCCCTGGATCCAGGTCGCTGGGGACCCAAAGCGGGGTTGAGTGAAAGGAATCTGTGGAAGATGGTCGGGGATCCCTCCGGGCGCGGGCGCGCCCCCCTCGATGGGGCGGCAGGAGCGGACCCCCAAGCTGAGAGTGGCCGCCTGGCAGCTCGGGGGCGGGTCCTCCCTGCTGCCGCGTGCGCCCCCCGCCCCGCGTCCCTAGCCTCACGCCCTGGCTGCGCTCACCCGGCCCGGCTCCCGCGGCGCTACGCGATCCCGGCTGCAACCCCGCGTCAGTCAGTCTCCGCGCAGAGCCCGGCGCTACGGGGCTGCCCCCCTCCTCGGGGCGGGGCCGACCGGGGCTCCTGGCACCGCCCCACGCCCGCCCCGCGCCGGTTTCCTGCGTCCCGGCTGCACCCACTACCCCCTCCGCCGCAACCGTCGTCTCTAAGGCGGGGACACGCACGCTCTCCCAGAGGGGAAACTGAGGCCGGTCGAAGGGTGAAATGGGCCACGATGCTAGTGGGGAAAGGGCGCGAAGGTCCTGCGTGCTGGTCCGGGTCCTGCCCGCATAGACGGCCTAGAACCCCAAGAAACGGTGTTTCTTTCTCCACCCACCTACCCATCCATGTCCCCTCCCACGTGGTCCCGTCTGTTCAGCCTGCCTCTTGCCTTCTTTCCTCCTGCCCTCCTCCCCTCCCTCCTTCCTCTCTTTCATCTATTCATTATCCCACCTATTCTTCCATCCATCTCTTTGTCTATTCATCCATCCTTCCACCAATTTTAAACTATGTTTTTGTCCATTCATCCATTCATCTAGTCACCCGTTATTCTGTCTTTCCACCTATCTATCCATCAAGCCTTCCATCCAGCCAGTTCATTTCATATCTTTCTGTCCTGCCTTCCACCCATCTATCTACCCTTCCTTTCTTACATCCTTCCACCCACCTCTGGGTTAGCCATTCTCCAATGCCATCATTCCACATTTAATAGGGGATTCTTCAGTGCTGTCCTTTCCCTTGCACTGGGGACCCAGATGGATCGCACCATCCCTGGAAAATTCATTTGCAAGTGCCAGTGGCAGAGGGCAGGCATATGCCCAACAGTGGGCACAGCTGCAGAGCACCAAGGGCTGGTTACTTCGGTTTGAAGAGGGCTACTGGAAAGGCTTCACCTAAATGAACCTCCTCTGTGGACATAGGTGGGTGCGGGGAAGAGAAAAACGTCAGCCAGCACATGCGATGTGCCAGGTGGTAAGGTATCTCGCTTAATCCTCACAACTCTGTTTTAGCCCAATTTTAGAGACAGTGAAGCAGGTTCAGAGAGATAAAAAGGGGCTCAGAGTGTAGTGGGAAAAGGCCGTGGGGTCAGCCCTGGGTTTAAATCTCGGCCCTGCCACTTTCTTGTTGCGTGTCTTGGGCAGCTACAAGGCTTGGTTTCCTCATCCGTTAACAGGAACTGGTGTGTACTTTACAGTTGTGATGTTGCAAGCCTTGTGGCTCACAAGGTACCATATGCAGAATGCTGAGTATTATGCCTGCCCAGTTGGTGCTCAACCAACGGTAGCTGTTATCATCGTTATATGAGAGGAGGTTGGGATTCAAACCCAGCACCTGTGATTCGCTGCTTTGCAAACCACGTCTCTGGTCTGTCCTTCCATTCACAAAGACCAGCTTCTTCCTCTCCCACCAGCAGGGCTGGTGAACTCTTGTTCCCCAGGCCCAAGAGTCATCTGGCTGGTGTCATCTAATTGGGAGAAGCATAGTTTACAACACAAGTGTTATAGCTGAATTGTGCCCCCCCCAAGTTCATATGTTGAAGTCCTAAGCCCCAGTACCTCAGCATGCGACCTTAGCTGGGAATAGAGTCGTTGCAGATGTGATTAAAGATAAGGTCATACTAGAGTAGAGCCCTAATCCGGTATGACTGGCATCCTTATAAAAAGGGGAAATTTGGACACAGACATGTGCACAAGGAGAGCATCATGGGAAGATTGGAGTTATGCTGCCAGAAGCAAGGAGCTGCTAGAAGCCAGGAGAGAGGCCTGGAACAGACCTTTCCCGGTGCCTTCGGACGGAGCATGGGCCTGTCTGTACCTTGATCTCGGACTTCCAGCCTCCAGAGCTGGAGACAATACACTTGTGTTATTTTGGCCACTCAGTCTGTGGTACTTTGTTATGACAGCCTGAGTGACGTACTGCAGCGACCACAGGCGTGGATAGAGATGATGCAGAGGGCAGCTGTCCAAGACAGTGACCAGACTGAGACCCACTGTGGAAGGGGCTGTGGTCACTGCTGTCTCCCTGGGCCAGTACAGAGCCTGGCCAAAGCCATGGCTTGTCAAGTCTCAGTAAACTGTGTTTTTAAACAATCTGATGAATTTTTACTTGTGTATATACCAATGTAACCACCGCCAGATCAAGGTATAGCCCCGTAGTGGCCCCAACACACAAGGTAATCACCCTTCTGACTTCTGTCACCAACAATAGTTTTGCCTATTCTTGACCCTCATATAACTGGAATTATACTGTATGTACTCTTTTGTGTCTGGTTTCCTCTGCCCAATATTCCTCATAAAATTGACGCAGTTTGTTGAATATAGCTGTAGTTCATTCTTTTAAATTGATGCGTAGTATTCCACTGCACAGATGTATCACAATTTATTTGTCCATTCTACCATTGATGGGCATTTAAGTAGCTTCCATTTTCTGACTCTTACGAATAAAGTTGCTGTAAACATTCTTGTGTATGTCTTTTGTCGAACGTGGGCGCTCATTCCTCTTGGAGTGGAATTGCTGGCAGAGAGAAGGCACACGTTCTACTTCGGTGAAAATTGGCAGACAGTTTTCCAGCGTGGATGCACCAAGTTACACCGCTCCACCCTCCACTCCAGCAACGCGTGAGGGTTCCAGCTGCTGCCTATCTTCATATTGCCAGTCTTTATTTTTAGCCACTCTGGTGGGTGTGTAGTGGTTCTCACTGTAGTTTTAATTAGCATTTCACTGATGGGTAAGGCTGTTGAGCACCTATTTTCATACACCTCTTGTTCATTTATACCTGTCTGAGCCTTTGGTCCATTTTTAAAAATAGGATGTTTATCATTTTCTTATTGATTTGGAGTTCTTTATATATCTAGATACGAGTCTTTTAATAAAGTTTTATCACACCAAAAATTTACACAGAGACACACACACACACAGCAATGATCACATCCATTTAAAAGTAACTTTGATCCTATTAATTAAATAAAAGCAATTTTTCCTGTCTTAGAAATGAGCCCAGCTGACATAACACATGACACAGTCATTTCATATGTACACAGTAGGGCTGGCCCAGCAGCTCCAGCCCGATTTTCACATGCTTGAGCTGAGCATTCGCTCTGGACTGGGCTCCAGAGCAGACTTCAGTTCAGTTCAGATGAGCAGGGGCAGTGGGTGGCGGTGAGGCTCACTTGTTTCTTCTTCCTCCAAGAGGGGCTGATGGCGAGTCTGCGTCGCACCTGTGGATCAGGGTGGTGGGGAAGCACAGAACAAGAGGACTGAGGCAGAAACAATCTTATCTGGCTGGTCTCCAGAGCTGGGCTCTCACAACTAAGCTTCGTGCTCACTGTTTACTATGTGTCTGCCACGTGGCAGATTCTTGGGACCCAGAGATGGTTAGGACACCAGCCTCATCCTGAGGGAGCTCACGGTCAAGGAGAAGAGACAAGGGGGCAAGGAAGCGTAATGTGGAGTGCTAAGTGTAGTTAAGTGTCACCTCTATAAAGAGGGATGCGTGGTCAGGATGCTATGGGGGGAAGACTGGAATCTCCCAGCTCTTGATGGGTCCCAGGGGCATCTTCACAGTGGAGTTGATGCCACTTGCACTGTGTCTTCATGGACGAGAAGCAGTCACCAGGCAGAGGGTGGCAGAAGGATGTTCCAAGCAGGGGGCTCAGTGCAGGACTTCCAGCAAGTGACAATCTTGTGACTGGAGTGTGGGGTGTGTTGGGGACAATGCGGGAACATCCGGGTGGACCCAGGGATAGAGAGCTTTCCTCTCTCGGCTTCCAGGGAGTCCTGGTGCCTGGAATCATGCTGATCTGTGGGTTACAGCTTTCTAGGGCACCTTTCCCTCTGGGCCAACATTTGCTGAGTGGTTCTTTGTAGGATGGCTTTTCTATTTAGAGGAATCATTGTTTCTGATCCTTGCCCATAGTCACTGCTGTCCACAAAATAGAGCATGCTGCCTGGTCCTTGACGGGCGCTCAAAAGTTGATGAGTTCATCCCCTCCCCTTACCTGAGAACACTTTTCTAAAACGGAGCGACCTTCGGTTCTGTGTTGTTTTTCTTCTGGAGTTGGGACCTAGTGAACAGGAGATGAAGAAAGATGGACCCTCGATGCCCAAATTTCTGGGCCTGGCAGGGAGAAGCAGGGCAGGAGCTCTTGGAGCAAGGGTGTCATGACCGAGTGGGCACTGACCTGAAGGGGGCCCAGGGTCTGGGTGGGCTGGAGCCACGAGGCAGGCGGGAGGGGCTGCTTGAAGGGCACACCTGAAGGACTGGGCCTGCCAGAGGAAGCTTCTGGCCTTGGTGATCTCCTGGGCCAATCTCCTTAAATCATCTCCTTCAAATAGTGGCAGCATGGAGTCCTTGAAAAGGGGAAATGAGTATGAAATTAGATCCATTAAATGACTGGGTGGGACCTGAAAATCCAAAATCTCAGGAGAAAAGTTTTAGAGTGAACTCAAAGCAGCCTTCCTCCCAGTGCAGGAAATCTTGTGGGCCTCAGCTTGCATGTTTCCAGGGACAGGGAGCTCACCACCTGTCAAGGCAGTCATTCTGCAAAGAGGACACTTTGCAGTTAGATGTCTGAGAGTCAGTGTAGGAAGGGGATGGTGGAAACTAAAAGGGTCTAAGGACTTCACTGAAGTCAGCACAGCTCTGCCCAGTAGAACAGAAGTAGTATATACACCTTATCTCACTGTTAATCAGTAAAACCTATCCAGCCCCTTCTCTATTTCTTCTAGTAAAACAGCTCCACAGATATGCCTTTTTCTTATGTCAACTAATGAAATTCTAGAGCCTAGCCTTAAAAGTACAAGTTCTGGGGCTTCCCTGGTGGCGCAGTGGTTGAGAGTCCGCCTGCCGATGCAGGGGACACGGGTTCGTGCCCCGGTCCGGGAAGATCCCACATGCCGCAGAGCGGCTGGTCCCGTGGGCCATGGCCACTGAGCCTGTGCGTCCGGAGCCTGTGCTCCGCAACGGGAGAGGCCACAACAGTGAGAGGCCCGCGTACCACAAAAAGAAAAAAAACCTATGACTTTACTGTATTTATTTTTTAACAGAGCATTTGAATATCTGCGCTTCAATGAATTTAAGGCGGGAAGACAGAAATATGCAGGAATTAAAGCACAGAACTTAGGAGCATGGGTGTCTGGGCTCTGGCTTTACCATTTACTCCGACTTTAGGTGTATTCCGAAACCTGGCTAAGCCTGTTCATTCGTCTATTAAATGGGTATAATAATGGTTGGAAGTCTTAAAAGAGGTAATTTACATAATGCAACAAACCTGTAGCATGTAGGCAGTGCTCAGTGAATGTGAACTGTTCTACTATTAAATAATGCCCCTAACCCTGCTTCTTTCCCAACCTGGAGGGGAGGCAGCCTAGAAGGAGAGCAGCAGGGAAACACAACCTTTTTTAGTCAATACTTTGTTTTACAAGAGAAGCAGAGATCTTATCAATCAGGAGGAAAAAGCCATGCCTGTTGACATTTTGTTGAGCTGTTTCAACAGAACTCACCCAGTAGCTCCACAACCTACCCTTTCGTTGATGAAGCCCCTGGTCAGCAGGTCCTGCATTTTTAAGAGCGAGTCCTCACCGACAGGGCAGTGATAGCGGCCCCCAGTAAGAGAGGCCAGATCTCTCAAGAAGTTAACCGCTGTCCTGCGGGGAGGAACAGAGGGCTGGGGCCAGGCCCACCGAGGTCTCTGTGAGCCCCCAGCCCCTGGGGAAGTCACATGAGTGGGGTAAGCGGTCTTGGACCTCGAGGTCTGTGCCACTGAGACTGTTTCAGCATCACCAAGCCACCCTCCCAGCTGGTATTTGGGTGGCAGTGGCTACTGCTGTGTGAAGTGGATTCACCATATGAGGGTCACCCTCAAAGCACGGGGCCCCATTCCTTAACTGGACATCTATCCAGTGCCTACTATGTGTCTGGCCTGGCAGGGACACAGTGTGACCTTTACGGAGCTCACAGTTTAGACAGAGAGATTAAATATGAATGTTCTGAAGGAGCTGAATCTCTCCTGTCTAACACATGTTCTTCTATAAAAATAACCATAGCGGGCTTCCCTGGTGGCGCAGTGGTTGAGAGTCTGCCTGCCAATGCAGGGGACACGGGTTCATGCCCCGGTCTGGGAAGATCCCACATGCCGCGGAGCCGCTGGGCCGGTGAGCCATGGCCGCTGAGCCTGTGCGTCCGGAGCCTGTGCTCCGCAACGGGAGAGGCCACAACAGTGAGAGGCACGCATACCGCAAAAAAAAAAAAAAAAAAAAAAAATAACCATAGCTACTTTAAACTTTTTCCCCCTAAATATTCACAAATGTGCCCCGAAGGAAGACGAAACGGGAGAACACAGCGTGTGACTGTGGGAATCGGTGCAAACCCATTTCCACGCTGGAGAAAGTCAGGATGCTGACGGGTGGGCAGGGACACAGAGGGGCTCTCTCTGGTGTAATGCCTGCCCAGGGCCTCCTAACTGCTCACACACAGGACTTGGGCCCAGGAGAGCTCAGCGTATAGCGTGAGTCCCTGGATTAGGTGAGGATGAGCCTTGCCCCTCAGCCACGCAGCCGTGGGGAAGGGATACAGCTCCTGACCGCCCACCTGTCTGAGCAGTTCAGGGAGACGGTGTGCACTTTCACGTCTCTCTTCTCCGTGAGTCTTTGCACTTCACTGAGGATAAGGCTGCAGCTTGTGTCTGGCTTCCCGTCCGTCAGGAGGTACAGTCCTTCCACATCAGGAAAACTGAGAGCTTTCTGAGAGAGCATGTAGGTTGTCTGGCTCAGAAGAGGGGCCAACCAGGACTCAGAAACCACTGGCCTGCTGTCCCCAAGTCTGGTTGGATCTCACCGACTTGTCATTAAGACTGAGAGCCTCCTCTTTCAGCCTATGACAGACCAGGAAGCTGCTGAGGTTTAGGAGAAAGAGCTCAGCCCACTTCCTAGCTGGTTAACCCCAAGCAAGTCACTTAACCTCTCTGGGCCTCTGTGTCTTCATCTATAAAGTGAGAACAGCGAGAATCTCATCCTCACTGGGTTGCTGGGAAGATGAAATGATTTAACAGTAAATTCTAAAGTGCTCTTTGTAAACTGCAAAGCATGGCGCAATGTCAGGATAGGGGCGATGGTATTTCTGCTTTGCCACTGGGTCAGGCTTGGCGGTGGAACTTGCCAGCAATGCTTGCAAGACTGAGGTGCTCCCCTGAGCATGCAGGTTAGTCACCCACTTCACAGCCTCGTGACAGGCTGCGTCTGTGGTCCCCACCAGAGTGTCCTGCCACGGCTGTAGGCCCTCTGCAAAGCTGAGCAGGTTAAAACTGTGGAGAGCGGAGAAGAGGTGGGGGCCGGAGAGGAGGTGAAAGAGATTGGTTAGAACGCACCCGTCTATACTGACCTCAGGGGAAGTAACCTCTGTGAGGACTCACACCTATCCCTGAAGACCCTACAGCAAGCCCTGGGCCCCCTGTGGACCACCTGAGGATGAGAACATACACAGTGAAGATTCTGGGTGCAGACAGAAATAGATTTAAATCCCACTTCAGCCACTTACTGGTTATGCAATCTTGGGCAAATGATTTAACCTCTCTAAGCCCTTGTTTCCTTTGCTGAAGAATGGGGATAATAATAAGACCGTTGTGCAGACTGAATGACATCACGCATGTAAAGCGCTTGGCACAGGGAAAGTGCTCTATAAGTGTTGAGGAGGGAGTGACCTTGGCCAGGGGAACCTCAGGAGCCATCCCTTGGATCTCCTGACCCCCGCGCACCAGCACCCCTGCCTCTTACCTGTCACAGTGCTTCCGCAGCTGTTCCCAGACCAGCAGAGCGAGCTCTGTCTTCACCTGCTGCAGGTAGGGGCCCATGGATCCCGACGTGTCCAGCAGGATGCACACTTTGCTTTCCAAAATGGCCCCAAAGAGTCGGCGGCTTCCTGCTCGGAGGCGGGTGGAGGCAGAGGCAGGGGAGGAGTGAGGGTGGCTCTCCTCACTGCAGCTATAAAATCCAAGGTCTTGCCACACCCGTTGCCTGAGTGATCACGGATCAGATGTGAACCGACTGGGAGATGGCCTCTGTGGTGTTGCTAGAGGGGTCATTGTCCAAGGGCAGAGCCGGTGCGTGGACTGGGCTTCCGGAGGTCGAGGTTTCTGCTATGGCTTTGCCTCGGATGACTTGCCCAAATGATTATAACTTCCCTGGGCTTGCGTTTCCTCACCCCTAAAGTTAAGTGATTGGGTTAAGCGGTGTCACAGTATTGTTTGGGGCTGGAAATGATGTTACAGAGCATGGAGTCTGTAGATTGGCTGACAGAAATCAAGTGAGCGTGCACTGTGTGCCCGGCACTGAGCAAAGTGCAGTGGAGACGACAGAGTGTCCCTGCCCTCACGGAGCTGCCAGTGAGGCAGGGAAGACGGATGTTATACCAACAGCTACCACTCTGCTGAGGGTTATGACACAAAGTTAAGGAGTACATACTTGGGAGAATCTGAATTTGATGGATGTGGGGTGGGGAGCAGACAAGCTATGGCTGAAGGATGAGAGGGGGTGTGTGCGGGGAGAACAGACTGTGAAAGGATCTGAGTGGGAGAGAGGAGCATGTCATGCTTGAGGGACAGAGAGAAAGCTGGAGAGGTTGTTAAAGGATTTGGGATTTATCCCAAGGGGAAACAGTGACTTGCCCAAGGTCACACAGCCTGGCAGCGAAGCCGAGATTCACATCCAGGTCCTCTGATCCACACTTTAAGGCAACCGCTAACCCCAGCCCTTCTGGTGCCCCAAGGCTAAACGGAGGTAACACGGGGGAAGCCAAAGAGAAGAAGATGGCATGTCCAGCATTCCCGAATCACACCTCAGACCTCACTGGAGGCAGGAGTAGAAAAACTGGAAAACTGCTGCAGAAAGGGTCCACTGGTCTCCAGGAAAAGGTAGCCTGAGCTGGCTGGACCCACTGCCCAGGAATCTTCCAGGACTCATCTGGGCTGTTCTCTGGCAATGCTCATGGCAACATGAGGACATGAGGGGAGCCATCCTGAGGTGTGTGGGACGTTCCGCGGGGACAGCCAGCCAGCTGGTCGAGGGGCCTCCCACCACAGAAGGCCAGCTGATCCATCTTGGGAACCAGACAGCGGAAACACCCTGCAAGCCACCGAGCCCCGCCGTTATCGCCTCCCTAACTCTGCTTTTTTTGTCCGTCTCCATCATCACTACCCTTCCCAGCTATCCTAATCTTTCCCCTGGATTCCTACTAGGTTCCCCTGATTGCACTCCGTCCCCTCAGCAAGTTATACTGCACGCAGCAACCAGAGGGATTGTTGCCGATGCTAACTTCATCACTTTCCCCTTATTTAAAACCTTTTAGTGGCTTCCCATTGCTCTTAGGATAAAGTCTGGGCCATGGCCTCATCTCCCTGGAGTGGTGGCACCCTTTAATCTCAGCCACCCTGCTTCCTTCAGTCTTTGTACTCAGCCTCCTCCCCCGCTGAGCACCTCAGTCATGCCCTGAGAGTCTTCCCTCTCTTTCCTCAGGTGACATCTATTCATTCTTCAGATCTCAGCTCAAATGTCACCTCCTCGGGGAAGCCCTCCGTGATCTCTCTGTGCAGGCCCCCTGTCCCTCTCTCACTGCACCATGCCTGTCTCCTCCTTACACTTGTCACCCTGCTCTTTGGGTAACAACTGTCTCCCCTAGACCATGAGCTCAGGGAACCTGTGAAGTGTTTCCCCTACCACCTCCCCAGCACGGAGCGGGAGAACAACACTTATTCGTTGAATAATGAATGAGAGGCTCAGCGCAGCATCCCCTGGGTACATTCGGAGGCGTTAGATGGTGTTGGGTGTGTAGCTGTATGTGAGGTGGGGGCACGACTCATACCACACAAGAAGCGGCTGCACGGCTGCCCTTCACACTCTCCCCGGCGGGAGGTGTGCGTTGGGAATACGCACACGACCTCGTCGCCCCGCCTCAGCCTCTGACCTGACAGCTGCACCCGAGCTTGCCGCCCGCTCCAGAGGCTTTGGAAAGCAGCAGTCAGCCCAAGGACTGTTTATACCAGGTTCTACTGCAGAGGACTGGACTTAATGAATTTGGGCAGGCACCTGAGTGGCCCACCCTGGGATCCTTCCTCTATCGTCCCAGGAACCCTCCAGGCCCCAAAGCCTGAACTGAACCTCCGGTTCAGTTCTAGCTGTCTGCCTGGCCTTTTGGACTGGATGCTTCAGACCATCTCCTAATGCCCAGCCCAGCCTCCTCTGGGATGTGAGCCTGGCTCTCAGCCAGCCCTGCCATTCACCTCTCCCAGAGGGGCCTTGGTGCTCTCTGTAAAGAAGAACAGGGGCATCTTCCCTGTCCGGAGCCCCTCCCATCTCTACCTTCATGGACTGGTTCTGTGGGGCCCAATCAATACTAAATTGAGGCTCCTGAGGGGCAGCAGCCCTTCAGTCACACCCAGGAGGCGAGGTGTGGGAGACGAGCCGGCAGAGCGGCCTGACCAGGCCTGGGTCTCCCTGCTGCTCTGGCTCGTGCTCCACCGCCCTGTCATCCAGCACCTTGCCTGACCTCTGAACCCAGAAGTCATGTTGCCCCTGGGTGACAGTCTGTGAGTGCCTAGCCTGGGAAGGACTGACCCTGGGGTCCCTGGGGTTGCCCTCCCGCTGCCCATCACGCTCGTCCGCCCTCCAGGATAGCAGGCAGGCTCACCAGACAGCAGCCACTGCAGCCTTTGGACATAGCGCCGCATCACCTTCTCCAGGTGTGTGATGTACGCTTCGATTTCCCTGGGTGTACACTGAATGTGTCTCACCATCCCCTGGATTACGGCAAGCAAAGGGAAATTCCAACCCCGTCAGCTATTTCTTCACCTCCCCATTACCCCCTAAAATAGTTTAGTCTACCGTGGTTCACAATTTTCAAAACATTGTTAAGCATACATTTTTGTCTGTTCGTTTAAAAGCTTTTCTCTTTTATTGAACTACCAAATGCACAGTTCTCGGAAGGTGTGTGGGAATTGGGATGACGATTTCTGTGGCAGATGTGGTCACTGTAATAAGAAAAAAACATAGTATCTCTAAATTTTAAATAGAAAACCCTTAATGGTAGGATGGGAGGTCGATGCATTTCAAACTAAGAGACGACCTCCGATGGAGGAGGGGGGCGGCATGATTAAACTCCCATAACATTTTTCTGGTGGCTCGTTTTAGCTTTATAGCTGACAATGTCATATCAGAGGGCAAGGAGAGAAAATGGGGTCTCTGTTTTAAAAGCACGATTAGATTTTCATTTTCTACTAAATGTACCTGTTCCAGTGTCAAAGCAATAAAAAAAATGACCTCAAAACGGGAAAATAGAGAACCCCCTCACCTCCTGCCATAACCGCTGTTCCCGGCCATCCTGATGGGACCATCGTCAGTGTCAGGGTACAGAGCTCTTATTAGTGAGGATTCCAGCCACTGTCCTGCATTCTCGGCAGTTGTTTCTAATTCCCCCTCCATTGAGCCCCTCTAACCCTAGAGCATGGTCTCAAGCACTCTGAGGGGCTGACTTTTCTTCCAACAGGATTCTGCATCTCCTATTCCTTGAGTGCAGTCCCTCTTTGGGGGGTGGGGTTCTTAGAAGCAGGAATTGAAGCCAGGGGCATACATTCATGGGGAGTTTTCCCCAACACACTCAGCCATTTGTGCCTGAGAAGAGACAGGAGCTGGGAGGAAAAAGAACCAACACCAATCTTGACTTACGTTGATCTCTATGCTGGGGAAGATACTGCAGTATTTGGCTGACGCCGAAGTCTGTGTTGACTTTTGATGAGTGCATTTGGGACCGAGGTATCTGGAGATCTCCATCTTCAGTTTTTTTAGTCTATAATTTGCTACCCACTTTAGAATAAAGGAAAGAACTATTATCTTGGGTAATTCAGGCTTAATGGAATGATTGACTCATCTTTTAAAACCTCATGTTTGAAATCTGTCTTGTATTTGAAATGTGGGGTTCCCAGGTCCTCACTGAGCCTCCATCACATTCAGTTTCCTGCCCCTGTGCTGGGGAGAGATGCACAAGAAATACGGGGAACAGGGAACAAAATTTATTGAGCACTTACTACTCCCTAGTCTGGTGGATACTGTTGCCTCCCCAATTTCCATTTCAACCCTCTCCCATGAAACTTGAATGGGATTGTTCTAAAGTTTAGACTCTAAACCAATGAGGATAGTCTCAGGCTCCTTGTCGCAATGAGAGATACAAGAATGGCTCGGTTTAAAGCAATCAGAGCATGGCATCCTGGGTCAGAACCAAGCTCAGACTTTTATTGACCGGTT